AGTAGAGAGGAAAAATGTCTAATCGTTGCAACTAACTGTTAACGGAGGTAGTAATAACTCTCTTTATTCCAACATTCCACTTCCCACTATAGTTTATATGGGACAGAATAACACTAATTTGGTTTTAAGGGTCAACACATAGAAAACATACAAGCAAAATAAGGGCATGCTCACTTTAACATACTTTCAGTTCAGTTCCTAATTTCAATCTCTCATAAAATATTCATTTCAGCTCTATTCAATTCAGTTCAGTTTAGCTCCAATTAGTTCAGTTCAGTTCAATTCAGTCTAATAAATATAAACGGGCCCTAATTTGAAATTTACAATTTACAATAAAAAACTATGTTCCTTATTCTTCCATGTCTCTCTTATTTCTAATTTTATTAGACAATGATGTTGTATCAATAACACTTGTTCATTAATAGATGGTTAAGGGTCAGCAAAATAAAATCTAAAAAATTATGAAAACTATAGCTTTAGCAAGAGCCAATCAATATATGACTAATTAGTCTCTTAAATACCCATCGGCTTCAATCCAATTTATATCCCTTACACAATCACATAAGACATAACATAGGAAAACTAACAAACTCTACAATTGTCAATTTTTTTTTAGGCTAGAATTATTAATTATAAAGTATATTTATCTAAATTGGTACTTTGTAATATTTTAAAATACAGATAAAATCACATGAACACGAGAATGAGTAAAAAAATCTATTAAAGACATTTAAAACAACTTAAATCTATTTTTAGTCGATCAATTAAAAATTAAGTAAAGAAAACATAATTGAGTAGGAGAAGCCCAGTTTAATCTATCAAATTGACTTAAAAAACGTTTATCTAGTGGCAGTTTAAATTTATTTATTCACAAAATTGCCAATTAATAACATTTTTGTTTGCTTACTTGGTAGATAAACTTGACTTTCCTAATCTTTGTATACACCCTATTACAATAATATTAGTGGATAACTCTTTGCCAATTTGAGGTAAATTCTAATCTTATTTATAGTAACTTAAATAGGTTTCATAGGGGTGATTGACTTACTTTAGATTTGAATTTTACTCATTTAAAAAGATAACTCTATCGATAAAGAATAAATTACTCTACTTTTACTATTATTTTAATCGGGATAACTTTCATTCATACTTGATTACAACTAGGGCTGGCAAACCCTGACCCGACACGAAAACCCGATCCGAACCCGACCCGAAGTTATTGAGAGAGACCCGAACCCGACCTGAACCGAACCTGAACAACCCGAATTCGACCCGATTTGACCCAAATTTCATATTTCGTAATAATATTAAGTTTTACACTATTTTTAATAGTTTCTAAGCATAACCCGAAATCGACCCGAAATCTGACCCGAACCCAACCTGCTGACCCGAATTGCCACTCCTAATTACAACGGATGTAATATATAGTATAGCCGATTTTTAAATAGTTTGTGTTTTCTAATAGAGTATTGAGTATAAATAAATCTGGAAAAAGAAGTCTTTATCAAGAATAGTGATGATTCTACAAACATTCACCTCTCAAAAACTTCCAAATGGATTCTAAAATTGCCATTTAAGCATCATACTTAAAACTCCCTCACGCAAAGAAGAAGAAACTAACCCCCAACCTCCCCTTTTAATTAATTCCCTGTTCCCTTTTTCTCTCTCCTTAAAAAATCCAGCTTTTTTCAGACTCAAAACAAACCATTCCAGTACAACAAAAACTACTAATACCAGCAAAAACAGAGATATTAACAACACCATTAATTAATAAATTAAAAATGGTGAGAGAAAATGGAAGTAATAATAACAATAATCACAAAAAGAAGCAGCAGCAAAAGAGGAATAAAGCAGGGGATTTTTTCATGGCAACTTTGGTGATGTGGGGTTTGTCGGTTGGCTTTGAAATTGTGTCCATTCATAAGAAAGAGCTTCTTCCTGTATTGTATGGTTGTTTGTTCTTTCAATTTTCTAATTGGGTTCTTCGATTTTGGGTTTCTCGAGAACCCCTTTTTGTTAATACCTCTGTTTCTCTTCTTCACTCTTCTTTTGCTTCTGCTTCTGGTAATTTCTATACTACCTTTTTATTCTGTTTTTCTGAATTTTGGTTGAATTTTGATTTGGGTGTTTTTTATTTTGTTTTAATTTCGTGATAGTGTCTATTATACACACGGGTGTGCTCGGGTTTTGATTGTACACGGGTGTATAATTGATTTTGTAATGGTGGAGGGTTGCTGTGTACTTTTATTTAGTTTGATTAATTGGTGATGGTATGAGATGTGCATCTTAGTTGGAAATTTTTTATTTATGTTATTATTGACAATTTGACTCGGCTTGAAGTGTTAGGCATGGTCAATTTTGTAAAATTTCTGCCTAAAAGGGTGTGTTTAAGTGTCACACCAATGTTCAAGTGTCGAGTATCCAACAAAAATTCTCGAGGTTAAATGAAGAGTACGAGTAACATAGGTCTTGGTTTTGTGTAGGCAAATTTGACATTAAGTGCAATTGAGTTCAATTGAGCTTTGCATTTTCATGGTGAATTATTGATGTAATTAAGGTACTGAAACTTTGTGTTGGGTGTTTTTGGTTTTCTATTGAACTCTTGCTGCATATCAGTTGTTGCTTGAGACTGTAACTTATAAAACCCTACTGCAAATTTTCAGTTTTACATACTTAATTAACCTTTGTAAAGTAAATTGATTTACAATGAATCAAAGAGATTTATAATACTGTGAATTTGTGATATAAGAGAATAATTTTACTTCCAATTGTTGTCTGACAGTCGATCTCCAATCGATGAAATCTCTGCATCATATTCTATTGATACTGCTCAACACATTGGCATTTTCAGTTAAGCAAGAAAATGATTGTTTCATGCCTGTACTGTTTGATTTTAAGATTTGATTCTCTAGCCTATGCATTAAATTGTACTTGCAAAATGTGTAGTTTAGGCTTAGTTTATCGGGTCTGTCGATCTCAGGATCTATGCAAGCCTGTCATCTTCTTTATAATTCTGTTAAAATTCAAGATTGGCCCCTCAAAGTAGATTGATAGGGTAGTATTGAAGGGAGACGGTTCTAGCTAGAAGTGAGTTGTATGTGGTGGACCATGGATGGAACATTAATACATTGGCATAAGGTGTCTTAATAGTTTCAGAAGACTATGAATTACTTACCTACTATTGTGCCAAAACTTGCATTTTGATTCAAATTATGAATTATTATATGCTTCAATTTCTGGGATCTCCGGCTGCTGAGCTTTACTCAAAAGATGTATTCTTCTCCTTGCTTCTTGTCTGATAAACTTGTTTGCTTCTGTTGTCTGACGAACTTGTATGCTTCTGTTGTCTGATGAACTTGCCTGCTTCTGTTGCAGTTGTATTTATATTGTTCAACCAATGGAGTGAAAAGCGTTCCATTCAAATATTTGATCATGAAGAACTGGTTCGAAATACATGGCCATGGGCATACACAGCCCTATGCATTTCTTGTGGTTATTTTGCATATGATCAGTGGGATATGTTGAAGTATGAACTGTACAGCGGATGGTTCCCATCTATCCTGGCACATCACCTGATCCTTCTTCTTTGCTTCACGCTTGCTCTGTATCGTAATGTCACCATCAACTACCTCATCCTTACCCTAATCTGTGAGGTACTTTTCTATTATCGCTTTGAAGCTTTATTTCTGTTGTATGCTTGTTAATGGTTCTTTGCCTTTTCTGAAGTGCACATGTCCTGTTATTTATCCAATTTAAGGAATTTTCTCCCTAGCTTTTTTGTAGATACTTGAGTGATCAGCAAGTGTAACTTGATTTTCATATTGTTAGCTGTCATCATTTCTATTGATGTTGTTTGCCTCTTGCTGTTTTTGCTGCCTTTGAAGTTGGTTCTTCGAGTAGACCAGCGCTAGCTGTCGTACTTGTTATGTACTCTTATGCCTGAATTCCTCACAACCTAATAAGATCATCTCCCTTATGCCTGTAGCTAATATGTTTGTCGTTCTTTAATTTTTTTTGTTTTTCATTTTCTATAACAATTGTATAGAAGTTGAGGCTATCCTCTTAAGCAACATTATTTTTGATCTGTTACCCTTCTCTTCACAATAACTGATCTTCACTATCATGACCCAAATCAAGATATTATGAATCCTTCACATGAAAAAACCTAAGCCTTAATATGGTCATGTTTTCCGCTATCAATATAACATATGATTTTCCACTCTTGAGCTGAACCATCTGTTTTCATTTTTATCATGATAACAGTTGCACTCAGTCTTCCTTCATGTGAGGAAAGTAAGACGGATGGCAGGGATTAGGAGTGCAGAGAGTACAATCGTGAAGGCAGAATGGTTTCTTAACTGGCTCACCTTCTTCTTTGCTCGATTACTACCCCACGCACTGATTTTGATCAAACTAGTTATAGATGCCCCAAAGTTTGACAAGGGTGTAGAGCTACCACTTGCTTTATTTGGGATGATTGGTATGAATTTGCTCAATATCGGTCTAGGCATCGACATCCTTGGTGCTTATAAGAGAGAAAAGAATCCTCCACAGAATCATCATAGTGATTAAAGTGAGCACAAGATTGAAGTTTTTAACTTGCTGAGCTTCTATTGTTTGTTTTATAAGCTCTGAAAAAGCATTATATAGGTTATTGAACTTATTGTTGTTTGTAGAAGCAAAGAAAAAAGAAAATCTAGATTATGTATTTTCCAACATGAACTATTCTTGTGAAAAGAAAAAAAAAATGTAAATTATGTTGATTATAAGAGTATTTGTTTGTATAAAAATGTTGTTTTTTTGGTCGTACAAATAAAAATATGTTTTGGAAGTTACTATTTAAAAAGCAAAAAAGGTCCTACCGGGAGTCGAACCCAGGTCGCTGGATTCAAAGTCCAGAGTGCTAACCACTACACCATAGAACCATGTTATGTTTATTTTTGTTTGCAGTTTATCATTCTCATTTTCAAGATGTTATTTTTTTTTTTTGGAAATTTAAATAAAAAAGTAGTTTTTTTATTTTATTTTATAATGTTTATCTTTCAAACCATTAACTTTCATAATATTTAGTGGTACAAATTTTAAATTTTAGCAATATGAAATCACAAATGAATTTTTTTTTAGTGTAGTCTGGTTTATTATGAAACTTGTTGGTATGATTTTGTGTGGTCTGATTTTGTAAGACTTCCTACTCTAGACTTTTGTCAACAGAGGATTTCCTCAATTTAATATCATAAAATTAGTAGAATTCAAGTTTTATATGATCATAATTTTCAAAGTATTTGTACAACTTTACACACCTAATTATTAATTAATGGAGCCTAGTTGACTTCAAAGTCATCAAAACTCTGTAACAACAGTTCATCTCTCCCTTTCTCTCTTAATTATTCATCCATGGCAGACTTCATAGCAAGTAGTATAGCATCAGGATTAATCGAAGAGGCAGTAAAGGCGGTTACCAAGTTAGTGGCAGCTCGCGCTTTTGAGGAGATCAGATCACTTTCATGGGGTTTCAACGATCAACTCGAACTGCTAAAGAACAAGTTATTGTATGTTCAAGCATTTTTGGATGATCTAGGAACCAAAAGTCATGAAGAAAAAAGCAAAGTTGTTAAACTTTGGCTAATGAAACTCCAAGATGTTGCATATTCTGCTGATAATATATTGGATGATCATGCTTATGAATTACTTTGTAGGAGATTTGAGCCTAAGAAAAAACTCTACAAGTTTTTCAATATCTCTAGCAGTGATAATTATCCTATCTTGTTTCGTTTCAAGTTGAGTTATCGAGTCAAGAAGATTGTTTCAGAGTTGGAAAAGCTTGAGAAGGAGGCACAGAAGATGGGTCTTAAGCAGGTGAAGTTGGCAAGAGAAGCAGTTGCTTCATCTATTTTTATGGATGGAGGTGATCAGTTTATTGTTAATTTGAATCAAGTTAGAAAACATGCTGCTGCTAGTGATTACGAATTCGTAGGGAGGGAGATTGATCAGGAGAAGCTACTAGAGGTGCTTTGCAATCCATTCAACAATGGTGATTTGTCCACCATTGCCATTGTTGGAATTGGAGGTAAATTTATTTGTCTTTTTTCTTTAAAAATTGCATGAAAAACTGTTTTGTTAGTTTTAAAATTTTGGGTTATTTTTGCTTATTTGAGTTAATAGCCCTTATTGGCAAATTAACTTAACATATTTGAACTTATTGACGAAATTATCAGTATATTGTATTCTATGAAGTGAGGGGAACAAAACTTTAGCTAAGTGTATTTATTAGATTCAAAATTACATTGTCCCTTGCAAATCTTAAGCATTAGTTGATTGTGATTATTTATGTCATGCAGGCCTTGGTAAGACAACTTTAGCAAGACGCCTATATGAACATGAGAAAGTTGATGCACACTTTAACAAGAAAAAAGTCTGGATATGTGTTTCTGAGAATTTCGATATTGAAAGACTTCTGAAGGAGATGGTTGAATCGCTTACATCAGGCAATTGTGATGTAACCAATACAGGTGCAGTTATTAATAAACTTCAGGGAGAGTTGAAGGAGAAAAAGTTCTTGCTTGTACTTGATGATGTATGGAACAACAACCTTGAGCTTTGGGATTCCTTTAAGAATGAATTGCAGAGAATTGGGGATATAGCAGGAAGTGTGGTTTTAATTACTACTCGTAGCATTGGAGTTGCAGAGAAAGCGCAAACAGTCTACACACACAAGCTGGAAGGATTGTCAGAAAATGATGGATGGGCCTTATTGAAACATAATGTTTTTGTTAGTAGGATGCTGCCAAGTATGTCTTCTTCTTTTGAGGATGTTGGGAGAAGGATTGTTGAGAAGTGTAAGGGCGTTCCTTTGGCAATAAAAGCAATCAGAGGCTTATTGCAGTTGAAGAAACATCCTTCTGAATGGGAGTCAATAGAAAGAAGTGAACTATGGGATTTGCCACAGGATGATGAAAATTACATCTTGCCATCATTGTTTTTAAGCTTTAAGAATTTACCTTGTCTGTCTTTGAAGCAATGTTTCGCCTGTTGTGCAATCTTTCGTAAAGACAGCTTAATAGATAAGCGCCAATTAATAGCTCTTTGGTTGGCTCAGGGCTTTCTGCATGAATCTGGAACAAGCATGGAGGAAACTGGGGAGAAATATTTTCAAATTTTACTGAATAATTCGTTCTTACAGGAGGATATAGATGATGGTGAAACCAGTGAAATTATGTTCTACAAAATGCATGATTTAGTGCATGATCTTGCGGTGTATATTTGGCAAAAGGATCTGTTGGTCTGGAATGCGGAAGCCACACTGAATAATTCCTTTGATTTTCGACATCTTGTTATCAATTTTGGAGAGATTGAAATTGCAGCCAAAACACCTGTAGGGGTGAACATACAGAAGCTAAGAACTATAAGTTTTTGGGATGGTGTGCCGAGGTGGGATATGTTGATTTGCGCTATGTACTTGCGCACACTGATAATGGCCAATATTGGGCTAACGGAGGTTTCCCCTGCCATCGGGCAGTTGAAACATCTAAGATATCTTGACTTATCTCATAATCCGATCAAAACATTGCCAGATATAATCTGCAGACTCTATCAACTACAGACTTTGAGTTTGCAAGGTTGTAAAGAGCTAAAACAGCTACCCCAGAAATTGCACAAGCTGGTCAGCTTAAGACACATCTTGACATCAGATTATGTGTTTGCTTCTAGAGGATTACAGCAATTGACTTGCCTGCAGACCTTACCTCATCTTGAGTTACGCGATGGGGAAGGGTGGACTATTGATGAACTGGAACCTCTGCATCAGGTTATGGGTCTGATATGCATCAAGGGTCTTGAGCATGTAAAGGGAAAGGAGGAAGCGAGGAAAGTTGGCCTTGGTAGAAAGTGCAAGGTCTTGAAACTAAGCCTAAGCTGGGCTTATGTCAGAGCAGTAAGTAGCGAAAATACTGATGAAGATGTTTTGGGTGGTTTGGAACCTCACCCAAATATAACATCACTGGAATTAGCAAGCTTCAAGGGCATGAGATTTCCTTCATGGATTATGAAAATGACTGTGAAGCAGAGAGGTAGTCTTGCACTGCTTAGCTATCTCACAGTGGTGAAAATAGATTATTGCAGCAGCTGCGAACAACTTCCCACTCTCGGGCTGCTTCCCTGTCTGAATATTCTGAAGCTGACATTTTTCCATGGAATGGAATCTATAGGAAATGAATTTTATGTTGGTGACCATGATGCACCTGTGTACCAAAGCAGGAGTGGTACTAGCGGGCAACAATGTTGGCCTTATGCTACTAATCTGAAGGCAGTAGAATTATTTCCAGCTCTGAGACATCTTCTTATCTGGGAGTTTCCCAGGCTAGCCACTTGGAAGCCACCATCCCTAGCTCTAGCGTCAACTGCATTTCCTTGCCTTGAAACTCTAAAAGTCGGAGGTTGCCCTCAGCTGGATTCAATACCCTCAGAAATCATCAAATATAACAATGGTAGTCTCACTTCGCTCAAAGTGTATAGATTATCAGAAATAAAGAGTTTACCTCATGGGCTGCCAAATTGTACGAACCTACAGAGATTGGAGATCTGGAGCTGTAACAAGCTTGAGTCTTTGCCCACAGGCCTAAAATCCCTTGTATGTCTTCAGATATTGGACATAAGAGATTGCATATCCTTGGACTCTCTTCCTCCGTATCTTTTCCAAGGCCTCTCTTCTCTGCGCGAACTGATCATAGATGGATGTACACTTTTAACAAGGATCCCAACTAGTATACAGGAATGTGCGTCTTTGGAGTATCTGAGGATAAAGAACTGCCCATTGATAGAGGATCCTGTCCCAGATTTAAGTAGATTGGAGGGTCTTGTTACATTAACTGCTGTTAATTCAGGAAAGCTAATGACTTCTGTGCTACGGTCAATTTCACATCTTCAATGCCTTAAGGATCTAGATATTGGTGGGTTTGAAGACGAGGAGGAATTCAGAAGGTGCTTTTCTTACATTACACCCTCCCTAAGTAATCAATCCCTTGTAAGACTTACATTGAGGGATTGTGCAAATGTCAAGTTTCTGCCACAAAATCTTCAACTCCTCCTTACTAGCATTAAATATCTGATTATTCAGAGATTTCCTGCCTTGGATCAACTTCCGGAGTGGATAGGGGACCTGTCATCGCTTGAGATATTGGAGATATGGAATTGCAAAGTGTTGAAATATCTACCTTCAATAGAGGCCATGCGACGTCTCACCCAATTAAAGAGCCTGCAGGTTGGAGGATGCCCACTTTTGAAAAAGAGATGTGCCAAACACAATGGTCCTGAATGGGACAAGCTCTCACATGTTCCCAATATTTGGATCTGATTGAGCAGATGTTCAAGATCACTGAAGACAATGAAGCATGCGGCGTGCCCATCATTTTTGTACAAGGTTAACACTTCTGCTAGCTCTTTCCTTGTCAAACTACTCATTTTCTTGCTACTTTTTATAATAATTTCTCCCTGTTTGGAGCTGCTCCACTTAGTTCACCATTACCCTAGGTTCTGCTGTTTCAACTTGCTCAACTGTTTTTCCCTTGTTTCATTTTGGTGCTTCAATAGTTGTAGTAATTGGTGTGCTTCCTTCTTTGTTCTTAGTTTTATTAAGATGATAAAGAGGACCGAGGTTGATTATAATCTAATCACTCATTTAATAATTGCTTGGCTTTACTCAAAGTTTGAACAGGATATATATATATACATACATACATTTCAGTTCTTAATTTCTTATATAAGATCATGTATATATAATGCAAACTATTATAGATCATAGTATATGATTGAGGTGACATTATAATTGGCAAATGACTAAACAAAGGCATAAGTGCGCGCAGATCACTGTTATTCATAGGTTATGCACTGATGCACATGATTATGCTTGAAATAAATGTACTCCATATTACTGTCATCTTGAGTTTTACAGTTGCTCCATAATACACTTGAATGTCAGTCAGATCTGTCATATTCCTTCAATAATGTACTCCGCACTAGGTATTGTCTGTTAAATCAACTATCCGTAGTTCAACTTATTCCTCAATCAATAATCAAGCATTTGAAATACATGATTCATCCTCCACATCCACCACAACCACCGCCACATGAAGCTCCTCCACAAGAGCCCCCACCACTATCTCCTCCCCCGCCATCTCCACCTTCAACACTAGCCCCACCACAATCTCCTTCCTCGCCATCTCCACCTTCAATACTAGCCCCACCACAATCTTCTTTTCCGCCATCTCCACCTTCACCTTCACATCCACCACAACCACTGCCACCTGTAGCTCCTCCACAAGAGCCTCCACCACTTCCATATTTGGCACTATTTACACTACGATCTCTGTATTCTTCTTGTGTCATTGCATCATATAGGATACAGTAGGCTGATATAGTTCCTGGTAGCAGGAACCATTCCTCCTCGACCTACTTGACACATTGTCTATAGTTAAAATGAATCCAAAACTTTTAACTTTCTGTAGTTAGCTTAGGCTGATAAAAGTTTGAATATGCAAGTAAAATTTACCTGAAGAACACCAAATTTTAAGTCAAAGAGAGCCACAGCTTTTCCATAAGGATTTTCAGGAGAAAATTCAACTGCAGTGGTGAAGTTGTCCTGCTCGTCTCTTTTACTGCTGTGCTTGGTTGCGTATTCTAATTTCTTACCAGGAAAGAATATCACCTGCATAAATATTCCAACACAATTTTTTTAATGTTCCTGTAACTCCTGTTAAATGTCAAAAAAATGTACATGCTTACCTTTGTTTCACCTAAGAGCTCATAGGAATTTCCTGGTTTGTTTCGTGGACGAAAGTCCCATTGAGAATCCATCAAAGACCATCCAACTTCCTTTTTCTTTGCAAGGATAGAATCTTCCCTTGATTCCAACACACCAATTACTTCATACGGACTTTTGTCGACATACCTAGGCATCACAAATCACCAAATAAGGATTCAAACTATCATATTAGGCTTCTTAATATCTTGATAGTACTAAATTATAAATAGATTACACTTGTGCATTAAACTCTGTCATGGTCACCTCATATAAACTCCAATAACTGGGTTACCAGCCTCATCTAGAACAGAAGTATGATTTTTGACTGGGTTACCAGCATCATCTAGTACAGAAGTATGATTTTTGACACCACCTGAAGGAACCATATGGAGCACATACGGAGCACTAGCAGGAGGAGTGAACGAGAGAGAAATCCGTAGACTTATAGGCTGATTTGTGCCTTTAGTTTCCAAGGATGGGAGCAACTCAAACCATCGGTCAACTGAGAGTTCTTGCCCGACATTCACAACATCTACTAGGGAGATTGTAGTAGTGCCTATAATTTTGGCAGAATTCATGTAGTTTGTAGTACTTGACTTGTACATCATTTCAAAGAGAAGCTCTGAGGTTGGTTCGGATTGGAAACTTATCACCTGTTTTTTCTGAGACTGAAGAAATACTGAGATTTTTCTCTGTTATATTGTTAAGATTATTTTTGTTTCTCTGACTGAAGTTGATGAAGAATTTATCTCCATGCCTTTGAGGTAGTCCTCTGACTTCCACTATCTCCAGTAGAACCTGCAAGTGTTTTAGAGAGGAAAAATAGTTGAATGTGTATATGCAACATCATCAGGAAAAACTTATCGCGTTCCTAAAGTAAAAATAGATTACTGTTGGATTTCCAAACACACCCACAATTTTTAAAAATCAGTAATAATCTTTATAAAAGATCGTGATGAAACTTGATGATGAAAGCTTAGGATAATGTGACGACTATTTACAGGCAGAGTATGTATATCAGTTTTTGCATATTGCTGAAAAAACTGTCTTATTACAGGCCAAGGAACTTAGAACTTGCCTCTATTAGCATTTGCTTTGGAAGTTGAATGATATTGTGACTTTTATTTGCAAGGATTTCACTCTTCTGAGTTTTCTCGAATGGATGAGCATCAACTGTAAGAGGTGAAGGTGCACTTCCTCTGTACATTGCTCCTGCTTTCCAATACCTAAGACCATATAACTCTTCCCACCTCTTGGAAGTCTCCATAAACCCGACTCTTAGTTTCATACCTTCTGATCTATCAGAATCAGTATCATCATGATCAAGTACCTCGCCACATATAGCAGTCGTGTCCTTACAGTAAAAGGCTGAGTGCAATTGGTGAGCATGCCAAATGAGGTCAATGTCATATGTTGGAACGCAAAAGCGCTTTATAGACATCTCCTTATTTCTCTTAATTAGATGAAGAAACCCCTTGTATCTGGCTATTGCTTCCTTGAGAAATATGTTATTGCTCATATGAGGCCTAGATACCTGTGACAATAACATGAACATGTATGTAAGACACTTCTCAACTTAAAAATCTAAAATCTAACCTTTTCTGTTTTTCTAAGGCATTTTTATGTCAAGATAGTAATGAAACTTCAGGAAGATACAATCATACAAGATGACTTATCTTACCTGGTAAAAGAAGGTGCTCTGCCTTTTTATGGCAGATACAAGATCATAATCCGTGCTCTTTAGAGAGTCGGGTTTGCTAACAGCATCTCTTTCTGTCATGGGATTGCTTATTTCAACCTCAAATGGTTCATCAAGGAACATCCTTGTCCAAACTTCATTCATTTGGTTAAGGCTAGTCCTTTGGGTGGTTGACTCAACATTTGAGTGATCAAGTATCCTTCCATAAAGTTCCTCGCAATCTGTCTTGTAACGTTTCTGGAACCATTTATATAGGTTTAGTCCTCCAATTTAGGTGTAGAAAATAGAACGGAGTAAAAGATAAACGTGATTATTTCACCTAAGGACTACTAACCGGATTAAGCCGGTGAATGTGCCATATCCATTCACAGTCAAGAGGTACAACTAAAGGGCATCCTAAGCCTGCAGGCTCAGAATTTTTCGCTAGCAGAGGTAGCCAATAGTTTTTGTACCTTTTCAAAAAAGATTAAGGCATCATTCTTCATAAACAAATCATCTCTTATGCTAATGGAGGAGATTGTAATAAGTGCATACGATCCAAAATACCTGTAAATGGCACGATCCAAGACAGGCCCTTGATAGAGAGCGCGATTTCTGTCAATTACTGCTAGAAATTTTAGCAGCTGCCTTGCAGAAGTTTCGAGGTCTGCACTCAGTGTGATCTTTTTTTGTGCTTCAGACCACTCAATCCCAGGGCTAGTCCTGACATTTTTTGAGCCCGGGACAACAGTTAAAGACCCTCTATTCACAAATATACTAAAATGTAAAGTTTATATAATATTTGTTTCCAATAAGCAAATACTACCTCCGTTACAGGTTATTTGCAACGATTAGACATTTTCCCTCTCTACTTTATGTCAAATCGTTGCACATAACCTGTAACGGAGGTAGTATGTAAAAACTGGAAGAATTCAGATATGTAATGTCATCTACATATTCTGTCAACTGCATATTCCATTGCATACACACAAATTGTATAATTAATACTCTAAATAAAATTCCTAGACAATGATCCATTATAGTTGAGTAAATTTACCTTACAGACAAAAGGCGGCGAAAGTGGAGGGTATATGGGAGACAGCACAACCGCCTATGGCTATGGTGGTGTACCAGGTACAAAGAGCGGACATGAGCTCTTCCCATTGCCATGAGTCTCTTGGTTGGACTTGAATAAACCGTTGCGAAGGGGCTCTTCAAATTCATTCAAATGGGCTGAAGAGGAGAAGCAGTTAGGATGGATGCAATCTTTGACAACAGAGAAGTGCAAGGAATCAATATTTAGGGGAATGGCATGTTAGTCATAGCCTATTAGTGGTAGCTTGGGGAATAAGTTAGAGTTTGTTATGAGAGTTTTTATGTAAATAGGCCTCATTAGGAGGAATAATCATCATGTTGAATATTGTTGAGGTTATGTTAGGAGATCAAAAGTGGAATTATCATCCAATTTAGTGTAATTCTCATCTTAATGATATAATCATCTTCTTCATCCTAATTTCTGTCATTAATAGTGCTGTAACCAAGCTAATTCCTAGCAAGGATCCAATTGGGTCCTCCGAGTGCGGCCCACAAGTTGTTGTTTTCTTCCCCTTCGAGGGATGGGCAAGCTGGTCAGGTGGAGGAGAAGTCCTCTATGATGTTACATACTAAGGAAGTCATACCTGGTAGTGGTCTATAGTTACTCGTGAGTGATGTACAATAATATTGAGGGTATTGGGGGGTGAAATAATATTAGGTGAGGGAAGTGGTGGGGATATTGTGACTCACAAGGAGAATGTACAATGTAAGGGGTTGGTTGTTTCTGAAACTTTTGGGGTTTGTTTTATTTCTCTAACTCTTATGGGAAATTCCCTATTTCTCATGGTGAGAAACGAAATTTGGGGGTATTTTCGTGAATAAATCAACAACTTTTTCATTATTATGAGCTCCACTAGTTTATTTACGAAAATGCCATGTGACCATGAGAAACTAGAGCATCCTCAACTTTTATGATCAAATAAATATAATATAAGCTAGTATAATTGATGTTTGTTGAACAGTGATGGTTATCTAAACCCCATATACAGAACAAATAGTTGTAACTTGTAAACTACCAAATAGATAAAGCTACAGGCCAAATACATGCCAAGAAACTTAGAAACATGAATTAAAAACACAAATTTGTTAAAACACCAACAATTTGATTGCCCTGTACCAGAGTTGGTTATTCCTTGAGGCGAAATTTGAGTGACTATTTGAGCATAAACTCCCAAGACACTCCTGCATCTTTTCTGCATTGATACAACAGATGGGGCATAAGCATCACATTCACATGATAGAAATGAAGGTAGCACCAATCTTCAGGTCTGCATTACAAAATTAATTGTAACATATCTATGTTCGTGTTCAAGCTCAATTATACCCTTCTGCTGTGACTTGTAAATGGACTTGAATCCCCCTGGAATTTAACACAGTGGCTCGTAACACTTCTCGGATAAATAAGTATCATTTGAATGAAGCTTTCATGGCTCAGCGTACCACTACCATGTTTTGCCATCATTGAAGCAGGCAGCGAAAACCTGGTATTCTTGCAGTGTTGATTATAAAAACTTCCAATGTTGCTAAGACTATCACACATCATATCCTAACAAGGTTTACAAGGTGATTACTATATTACATTCCTTGAGACTTATTAGCATATTGTAGTGTTACAAAAATGATGATCAGACGAGTCAAGCCTGTACAAAAATATTACGAATAATCTCTAGCTTTTATGATCAAATAAATATAAGCCAGTATAATTGATGTTTGGTTGAACAGTGATAGTTATCTAAACCAATATTAGATAGTATGAGAAGACGGTACAAGCAAGTGATTATATTGCCTGAAGAGGCTCATGGCACCAATGACCAGAACAAAGGGTCATAATAATATCGGAAAATCAATCGAATCATATAAAAGCCTACCTTGATTCTAAAAACATACAGCACCCTCATTCAGCTCTTCCTATCTGATAATATTTGCATACACTAGCACTACCTAATCTATCCGAGTATCATTCTAGATTTGTGCTATCAAAATTTGACTGACTAACTTCTGCTAAGAGAATAAAAATTAGCAAATCCGTTATCATTTTTCTCAGAACCAGGGTAGTTTAAGAAGAAAGCTGATGAAGTAGTTGATGATGATGAAGATGCTGGTGACCCTCTTGCATCTCTTCTGTTATGAGTTGCAAAAGGACTCAAATCCTCCTGGGTATTACGCAATGGCTCATATTCCTTCTCGTTCAAATATGTATCATTTGAATGAAGTTTCCATGGCTCACCAGTACTACGTCGAGCCATCAGTGGAGCAGGAGCTGAAAATCCTGGTATACTTGCAGGGTCAATAAGAAAATCTTCCAATGTTGCTAGAGATTTCAGCTGGCTTCCGAGAGATGCAATTGTCTGCTGGCAGTCAGCAAGCTTTCCAGCTGCTACAGCAAGATCTTCCTACATTTGACATTTATATTAAGACCAACCCTTTTGACACTTTAAAAAAAAATGCTATACAGAATCATATTATGGAAATAATTGTTAGATGTAATATACCTGCTTTATCTTCAACTCGTTATTAGAGTGCGCCCTTTGCTGAACATTAATCTCCTGTGTTTTTTTCTGCAGCTCGTATTCCATTTCCTCATATTTGGTGGAAAGTTCTGCTACCAAAGCCTTTTCCTTCTGCACCTGCTCTTTTAATAATTCAATCTGAGCGGACATTGTTTGGAGCTGTTCTCTCATGCCATCAAGTTCAGAATTCAGGGCTTTCTTTTCTTCATTTACTTGTTGCAGCTCTTTCTCGAGCTCGTTCTGCACCTGCTCATTTGATAATTCAATCTGAGAGGACATTGTCTGGAGCTCTTCTCTCATACCATCAAGTACAGAATTCAGGGATTTTTTCTCTTCATTTGCCTGTTGTAGCTCCTTCTCAAGCTCTTTCTTCTCCTGCTCATTCAATAATCCCTTCTGCACCTGCTCGTTCAATGACTCAATCTGGGAGGACATTGTTTGGAGCTCTGCTCTCATACAATCAAGTTCAGAATTCAAGGATTTCTTCTCTTCATTTGCCTCTTGTAGCTCCTTCTCAAGCTGCACGTTCTCAGTCATTAAACCCGACTGTGCCTGCTCATTCAATAATTCAATCTGAGAGGACATTGTTTGGAGCTCTGCTCTCATACAGTCAAGTTCAGTATGTAGGGATTTCTTCTCTTCATTTGCCTCTTGTAGCCCCTTCTCAAGCTCCATCTGCACATTCTCAGTCATTAATCCCTTCTGCGCCTGCTGATTCAATAATTCAATCTGGGAGGACATTGTTTGGAGCTCTGCTCTTATAAAATCAAGTTCTATATTCAGGGATATCTTCTCTTCATTTGCCTCTAGCAGCTCCTTCTCAAGCTCCATCTGCACATTCTCAGTCATTAATCCCTTCCGCGCCTGCTCATTCAATGATTCAATTTGAATAGACATTCTTTGGAGCTCCTGTCTCACACTGTCAAGTTCAGAATTTAACGATTTCTTCTCTTCATATGCCACTTGCAGTTTCTTCTCAAGTTCTTTCAGCTTCTTTTCTGCCTGCTTCAGCTGAGCCTCTGACTTCTCCAAACTGTCTTGAGTTTGAGCTAAATCCGTTTCCTTCAGTTTGAGCTCATCACTAAACATTTCTTCTTGCTGAAATTCTAGTTCCTCTTCCTTCTTTCTCAGCTCATTCTCCAAATCCTTGCACCTCACAGAAATTTGCTTCGATAATGCTTGTTCTTTTTCTATCTCAGCACGCAATGACTTTATCTGAGAGGACATCAAGTTAGCTTCTCGCTCAAATTGAATAAACAGTGCTTTATAAAACCGTTCCCCTTCATTTGCATCATGTAGCTGTCTATCCAGCTGTTCTAACTTCATCTGGGTTTCAATCAACTGTACTTGTGATTCTTCAAAACAACTTTGAGCTTGGGCCAAAGTTATAGCCAATTCAGCCTTTTCCGCTTCCACTTTACATATATTTTCTTCAAGTTCAGCTGTTCGACGAGCCATAGACTCAAGCTCAATCCGTAAACTACTATCTTCCTTATGAGCTGACTTTTCGAGGGTCTCATCACAACCAACAGACTGAACCTGAGGCCCATTACTAGGCAAGGAAGCAAGCCGCTCCATTTCAAGGAAATCATCCATCAGATTGATGTCTGTAGAAGGTGGATTCATGTTTCTGTCCACTTTCTCACTTGTGAATTGATCAAGTTCGGCAATTAAGGCTGAAGCCCAAGAGCCATTCATCTTTCGCCCATCACACTCTGAGGCACTTAGTTGCTCAGCACCATCTGACTGGCTGTCGGTCAGTGATTCAGCACAGGAAGCGACAGCAGTGCTTGACTTGCGCTCATTGCTTATTGACGTTACTCTAGAAAGTGATTTTAGCTTTCGACACTCAGCCTCTAGCCTGGCTAACTTTTTTATGCTCTCTAAATGCTGCTTGCTAGCTGTTTCTGCAGCTTTTGTGCTCAAATCCCTTTCAATGGTCCTCACCTCCAGTTCCTCTGATAGCGATTGAAGCTCCTGTCTAAGTACGACATTTTCTTCCTCTAAAAAGTCAGTTCTATGTTGTAACTCAAGATCATTCATTCTGGAAGTTTCTAGCAGGGCCTGAAGCTCAACAAGCTGGTCTTCCAGCCTGGTCTTTGCAAGTTCCAATTCACTTGTTCTCTCAGTTACAGCTTGATTTATTTTCTTTTCTTGCTCATCCCTTGCAAGTCTAAGCTGCCTAACACATTCTTTCAGAGCTTCATCGAGTTGGCTTACTCGGTCTTCCAGGGATGACTTTTTCTGCGCTACAGCTTCAAGTTGTTGTTTCAAGCTATCGGCTTCTTTTTCAGCCTTTTCCCACCCTAAGATTCAGAAGTCAGTACACTAGTGAAGTAATAACAGTATGCAGTAAGCCAGTAATATTAACGGTGGGAAATGGTTTTATCCCCTCTTAATAAAGGATGAATGATTCATTTATAAGAAAAAAAAATGCTTGCATAAAGATATATGTGTCATAGAAAGTTAAGGATTCAGTCTTGTAGCAGCTAAAAAGGCTGCAGGAAGCTCGCCGGAGTTGATGCATCCAATTACCACAACATGCATTGAGAAAACCAACTTAAGGAAGAATTTAAAGGGCAAGCTATCAAATCTCAAGGAAAAATGATCTGAGATAGAGCTTTTAAGGGTGGTCTAAAAGTGTGTTATATTCCAAGTATAGAAGGTTCAAGAAAATATCATCAGATAACAAATGGTAACTGTATAAAAGAAGAACTTATAACCTTCTTAAACAAGTTCCGCAATTACCTGCAACAGCTTCCTCAGCAACTTTTGAATGTTGTTTAACTAATTCATCTTTGTGACTGACATTCACAAGAGCAGCAGAGAGTTTCTCTGTCAGAAGCTTGAAACTATCTTTATCTTCTAAACAACCATTGCTCGATAGCTTCCCAAATTTCACTCCTTGGGAGTCCTCAACGGAAACAGAAGGCACATTTTCATTTGAAACACTACCTTTTGATATGTCCTCCACACAACAATCTGGTGCTAGTGGTCGAGTATCTCCATTCATAGATATTACATAAGCATCTTCCTCTGATAACCTATCATTTGGCCTATCTTCTTCTGTGTCATCTGATAGTTTTCGAGTCAAGCTTTTCTCCCCCTTGTCGGTTTCTTCTCTGTTGATTATACTTTCTGTAGCTTTAGAGTTAACTTCTGGTGAGTGGGAGTTATTTGGAGATCCTTTTATAGGCTCCTGCTTCAGTCACACAAAGCATGGATGTATTAGCTGCTAAAGCACCAGGAGCAAGAGCAGGCAGAGTTACCGATGCATTAGGGTGAAATCCTCATAGACTCATAGTGGACAAATGATCAGACATTGACAAGTACATGATTAGGGAAAGAATAAGAATGGAGATGATGTTAAAGTGTCTATATCCTTTTCGATATGAGCTATAGTCTTCGAAAACATCAAATAAATGGGTTTATCACCCAAATGTCAGTAACTTAATGCTAGTTCCTCATCTACTAACAACAGCCTACATGTATTGATAAATGATTCTGCAAGTTTTCCTCAACCAGAGAAATAAAATGGCCTTTTAATAGGTTGATATTGCAATGATCAGTCAAATAAGAAATTTAATGGTAAGGTCCAACCTATGAGAGTAAATAAATTACTGGAGTAACTACATTAAATTTGCAATATGAAGTTCAAATTGAAGTCCTGAGCAATGTTACTCAGACTCGGATAGAAGTGACGAACATAACCATCTAATGAAAAGTTTCCATGATTTTGGTCCAAAACAAAGTGCCTATAGTGTCATACCCATGTCTGAATATCCGGTATCAAAAAGAACAGTTCGAGTAACACAAGCCCTTATGTTTCAAAGATTTTAAATAACAAAGGACACAAAAGTATCACTAAACTACATAACATAGATCCGAATATTGATCCATTAGAGTTAAATCACCTCAAGATGATGCAATTACAAGATAGCCTAACATAACACCGCCTTCATCGAAAAAATGCAGAAACAACTTGATTGCAGTCACTCAACAGAAAGATGAAATTCATATTAACACATATCAATCTGTAATGTACTAAATATACATAAAAATGCAAGATTAAGCAACTCCAAATCACATAAATTAATTTTAAAAAATGCAAGAATAACAAACCTGATCCTCCAAAATTTTGTCAGATTGAGAAGACATTGAACCTGAACTTTCAGTCTCACCAGCAATCTTCTCACAGGACTTTTTCCCCCACAACCATTTTCTCTTTACCATTTCAATTTCTCTGAAATTTAGTCTCAGGGTAACTCACCATGAACTTCATTTGCACTTAACTTCAGTTCATTCACCTGCAAAAATTTGTAAAAAAAGTCAAATTTTCCACAAATTGACATGTTTTGTACATCAATAAACAGCTCCATTTCTCAAAATGTGCTAAAATTTTCAAATTAATCTCATATTCATCCCAAGATTGGATTTTTTTTCAAAGATAGTAAAATGCACATTAAAATTACAGATACAAGAAGGGATTAAAAAAAAATCAAATTTAAAGTAAAAGAAAATAAATTACCTACTAATTTAGGATATCATGTAACACCCATAACTTAAATCATAAAATTAGCAATACCCATCAACTTAAACACAGAAAAAACTTGCTAAATCCCCAAAAAAAAATTAAATTTTTATGCTAATAACAGCAATGAAACAGTGTTTTAAATTTATGAAACTGGGAAATACAGTGACAAAAAATAATTAAGAACCCGGTTTATAGTTGTTAATGTGAATAAAAACCTTTTATTTGGATAAAGAATCAAACCCAGAAAACTTTTGTAAAGAATAAAATAAAAACTGAGCTTAATCTTATTTTAAGAACAGCTTTATTTCAGATTAACAAACTTAAAAAACAGTTAGAAAGAAACAAGAAGAGCAAGACCCAAATGAATACCTTTGACCAGGAGACCAGATATTGGACCAACCTCAGAGCTGAAGCACTTATTGAAACCAAGATTTTTTTTTAAATAAATGTCTTTAATCTTCTTTGTAGAATGTCAGCTACTTTGAATAAATTGCTTAATAAACCGGTAAAAGTTCAAGTAATACTCGTCTCGTGTTTTTTTAGTTGTTACACTTAAAACAATCCGTCTTAATATCTTTGGTTACTTCGAGTACAAGCGTACAAGTAAGAAGTTTAAATTTTGAAAATACTAGAAAAAACAAAACAAATTTAATGTCACATTTACAAAATTTGATCTTGCAAAATAAAAATGGGACAATTATTTTATATTTGGAGTAATTGAACAAGTAGTGATGCTATTTATGTAGGGAATTTGAAAATAGGTGAAGAAAAAAAAAGTGGGGAAATCAGCGGAAGCAGAGCATGTGAGGGAAAGGTGATATTGAAGTAAGGAGAGAGAAAGAGAGTGAGAGAGGGGCAGAAAACGAGGGCAATAATAATTTCTTTTGCAGCTTTTCTATTTTCAATTTATTTTTGTTTTTATTTTCTGTGTATATATAAATGAGAATTGATTTAAACGAAGCTTCTATTTATTCCCGCCTATGCGTAATGTTTATGGGACTTGCAAAATGTAATTTTTAGTGAACTGTTAAACATCGCCCGCAAATTCCTACATAAAGCCCACAAAATAAGAGTGAAATGTCACTTTTGCCCTCATACTAAAAAACACACAATTTCTCTCTCTACTCTCTACTTCCACTTTCTCTCTCTAAATTATTTCAAGAGCTATGTCGAGGCGGCCCGGCAAGGAAGTGGCGGCACCGGCGGTGGGCGGAAGGCGGTTTGCCGGCCAGAAGGTAAATTTTTTAATTTTTGTAATTTTTTTTTAAAAAAAAAACCTCCGGCGACGGTGGGGCGCCAAGGGGAGACGCCAACACCACGGCGGAGGCGCCTAGGCAAGGCGCCCATACGGTGGTGGCGGCGCCAAGCCCAGACGCCACCACCACGGCTGTGGCGCCTAGCCTCTGCGCCGCCGCCGTGGTAGTGGCGTCTGGGCTTGGCGCCGCCACCACCGTAAGGGCGCCTTGCCTAGGCGCCTCCGCCGTGGTTTTTTTTTTTTTAATTTTTTTTTTTGATTTTTTTTTAATTTTAAATTTTATTTTCGATTTTTTTTTTTTTTTTTAAAAAAATTTGTTTTTCTTTTTTTTAAATTGTATGTTCCCTTTTTTTTTATCTTTTTTTTTTTAAATTTTGTTTTTTTATTTGTTTTAATTTTATATTTTTTATGTTTATAATTTTATTTCCGTGACTTGTTTATTTGCTTTTGTGTTTATTTTCGACTTTTTTTAATTTGTTTTCGTTATTATGTTTCGTTATTTACTTGGAGTTAGGCATCGCAATTTAGACCTGGTGCGGGGAAGAGTATTGACGTCGTGAGGAGTACGATCTACTCAATGGAGAGCTCGGGGCCCAGACACGTTAGATCCCGTGGTATTTCGGCCTCGGCCCGCAGAGAACGGGTGCACTGTTCTGCGGACGATCAAGATGATGATGATGATGATGAGGAGGAGGAGGAGGAGGTCGAGGAGGAGGAGGTCGAGGACGAGGATGATGCAGATGAGGATGTCGACGATCAGAGTGGACCATATGATGATTACGGTCCATTCAGTCAGAGACTTGATGATACGTATGAGACGCATAGGGTAGATGTGCGTAAGGGTCGAGATGGTAGGTTTGTTAGTAGATCTGGCACATCATCTGCGTCCACTGTGTCTGCGGGTAGCAGAAAACGGTCGAGGGCCGTTAATGATTCTTGGATGGTGAGGGGTGAGGTGGCCGGGGGACCTATAGACGGGAGTGTGATTCCTAGCTTTTTAGGACACATCGCTACCCGTATTTGGGAGGACCAGGAGAGGGCTTTGGATACAGGCATTTTGAAATGCCAAACCCGGGAAAAGACTTGTAGGTTTTTGTGTAGCTGGGCTGATGCTTGGCCGGAGGAGAGCGAGATGGTCGGGCGATTGAGGGCCACTAGAGTGAGTCACCTTCCTGCCACCATGCACGATAGGATTGACTGGACGCTGATCACGGCTTTCGTTGAGCGATGGCAGCCGGATACGAACTCGTTCCACCTTCCGTTCGGTGAGATGACGATCATGTTGCATGACGTCGAGGCCATCCTTGGGATTCCCGTGGAGGGAAACCGAGCATCTGTCGTCACTGATGCGGATCAGGCAGATTTACTAGCGGAGCTGTTGGCGGTGGATAGGGCTGCGCTGTACACATCGGCACTTGGTGTGTGGGATCACGGCGGCGTTAAGATCGCAGCCGTCTTGCAGCGATGTTTGCACCCTACGGCACGTAGGACGCAGGACACACAGCTGGCTGCATATGTTTTTCTTCTTTTCGGGTGTACCTTGTTTCCGGATAAGAGCGGGAACAAGCTCAGGCCACGCGACATAGTTGACGCGTGTGAGCCCGACAGAGTAGGCCAGTTTTCTTGGGGGTCGGCTACGCTGGCGTATCTGTATCGCCAGTTAGGATTCTCGAGCCGGGCTGATGCAGCAGGTATCACTGGATGTCTGACGTTGTTACAGACCTGGATATACGAGTATTTTCCTGCGTTTCGACCACACCGCGACCCGGTTCCCATTGGTGATGGCCAGCCACGTGCCTGTGCGTGGAGTCCGCGTGTCGAGAAGAAGTCCGTTGACCGCCTGCGCTCCATACGGTTATCGCTTGACAGGATGTCCCCCTTAGAGGTACAGTGATTAAATTATTTCTACTTTTACAATCTGATGCTTTATTTTATGACTGTTACTGATTTTAAATAATGTGCAGGTGAACTGGATGCCTTTCGGCCAGAACCCTAGTAATAGGGTACCCAGGACCCTCTACACTGGACTGATTCAGTATCGCGAGATCGTAGAGGCGTACATGCCGCAGCGCTGTCTTCGCCAGCTTGGATTTGTCCAAGTTGTCCCACCTCCACCGGCATGGCCCAGTAAGGCGGTACGATCTGCGTCGTCGAAGGAGTACGTCGTCCAATGGCCGTCAAACATGATATCTATGTGGGAGCAGTTTCCGATGGTTGCCCGCCTATGGACGGCGGAGCTGCAGCGGCCGCCAAGTGGGGTGACTGCCATGTGTGACCAGCACTACATGGAATGGTACATCCGGCACTCGCACCCGAGGTTGATCAAAGACATCGACGACGCAGATGATGACGATGTGCCACCTGCCACTGCCTCTTATGCGGTACGTCTCATCTTTTATTTGTTGTTCTCTTATTTTAATATATATATGTATAATACGTCGTTTCATGTTTTTTGTTTTGTGTAGTGGATGGGCAAGATTATGCAGTTGGGCCACCGACTTTTTGAGGAAAGGGACTGCATGACGAGTGCATCAGGCAGAGCTGTTATTGACGATCTGGAACGGACCCTTGAGCAGTGGCAGTGGGCGTCACAGAGGGATTACTGATTTTTGTAAATTAGACATTATCTTTTTAGTTTGTAATATTTGACATTATTGTTCTTAGTTTTTAAAATTCAATATTATCATTTTATTTTGTAATATTTGAAATTATTGTTGTTAGTTTTTAAAATGAAACATTATCTTTTAAAAATGAACACATAGAAATGACATAGTATTGACAATACAAGGCCTCATAGTAAAAGGTAGGTGTACATCAACAAAAACTACATGGCAATTAAATTGTTCCACTGTTGCACGCGAGCATGGTACAAAGCATCCCAACCCTCCACGCTTGCTCTACGAATTTCATACCACTTCGGTATGATATTTGGGACCGGAAAATCGGGTGACATGTCTAATCGGATAAAATGTCTGTATGACGGCCCAAGAAATCCAATAACAACGTCCCTTACCGGTCTGGTGACGGTCTCGCGCGAACACCAGGGCAGAACCGTTGTACATGGATAATAGGCTCGACTATATAAACCAAGGCCGAAATGCATGACTGCACACTTGTAGATGTTTGCAACGGCAAAGAGATCAAGTGGCGCATCGAACCAATGATTTTGACCGCAAGGTCCCCCTCCCCACCGGATACGCTGCAGAGACCTATCCAAGTCCTCGCCGTACACATGGCCATACACATCTCGGTTTGATGCGATTTCACTGTACATCAACTGCCGCACTAAACCGTAGTTGTCTTCACCCATTTGAAACACATCCGCCACAACCCGAAATCCGCAGTTACCATCTGCAATGACATCATTCCACCCGTCCAAGAATGGCATCATGATATTAGGGATCCTGTCCTTATATGGAAAATGTTCAATGTCCATTCTCCCTGTTACACACATCAATAAACACAATAAACAAGTCAACAGTAAACTAATCAAACAGTCAACAAAAGAAAGGCAAGTCGAATGTCTTACCGGTGCCGGGCATATTCACCGACGACGATGATTGGCTGCCACTTGATGAGGATGTACGACCACGGCCACGGCCACGGCCACGACCGCGAATGTACTCAAACGCACTCTTGTTCCGCCGTGGTTGTCGACCCCTAGGTCGCTCGACCCCTTCCGGTTCCTCGGTATCCAAACACGATGTATTGAACATGTCATGAAGTATGTGTGTAGCACTACGAATGATCGAAGGGTGACTGGAGGACACTTGGTCAAACATCATCTTAAACTGCTCCAACTCCTCCTGTTCACGGTGAACCGTATGCGGAACAGCATGCTCTCCGATAACGAGCGTCCGCCAGAATGGATGAACCTGATCGACATGTAACGACGCCCTGTCTTGCGTAATTACGCGGTGAATGGTGCATGCACAAGGTAATCCATGAGTCATTGATATAGCACATCCGCACCGAATAGCCACTTCATCGCCCAACTCCCTCATCCTGGTATACTCGCTCAGAATCAACCCCAAACAGTGGTGTGACACACGACCGTGGAGAATCTTAAATATGAAATGGCCATACAACATGCCATGTCGTCGTCTGGAGTCCTCGAGATAGTTCTTGATGCCGTTCCTCTGAGTATCAATAGCCTTGTTTATTCTCTCGAACAGTGTATCCAGAGCAGCCGTGGAAGAATCAATCCAGTCCTTCAAAGCTCTATGAGCGCTCTCGACTCTGCATGTCGTAGTGTTCCCAAAATGAAGAACTTGGTTCGTCCAATATTTGACAAACTTTTCCCTCTGAGGTACCCACTGATGCATCACATAGTCTACGATTGGCGGGCACCACTTGTACGCATCCTTTAAGTTTTCCAAGGCTCGATCGTACTCTGCCTCCGTGGTAGCTTGCAGGATCTTCCGCCACTTACCATTTACCAATCTCTCTGCTGAATCTAAGTTCTTGTTGAAAAGGTTGTAGGCTTTGACTTTCACGCAGTTGTTGATGTGCCATGTGCACAGTAAATGGCTCGACTCCGGAAACAGCTCCGCTATAGGGGCAAAAAGACCTCCCTCACAATCACTTACGATGGCCGATGGCTGTACATTTGGGCCGATGTAGTTTCTCAACTTTTCCAACACCCAACGGTAACTCGCAGCCGTCTCATCCTTCATGACTGCATAACCAATCAGAAAGTTCTGGTTCGTTGGAGCCATCCCAACCATCTCAACCAGTGGGAACTTGTACTTGTTTGTCTTGTACGTTGAATCGATCAAAATCACAGATGGC